CACATTTGTAATACCTTAACTAATAAAGAATTTAAAGATAAAAAAAAAGTCATGCATACACACTGCACTGTCAATATCATTATGGATGTTACTATAGTTGAGAAATTTTGTAAAATAATTTACCTTACTACAGTGTGAGTACAAACAATAAACTCTGGCCTTGAATTCCACTGGTGATAAGTGATATAGTAATGAGTTTGAAGCCAAATCCACTGTTGTCCTTTGGTCAGGAACCTGTAATAACATGATTTGCCTTTCCCATACTGCATCACTAAGAAGAGAAAAAATTTTTTGATTCATATAAGTTATGAATCTGTTTTTCAGCAAAAGCTGTTATTTATATTTATATTTATATCTATACAGTATATACAATTCTTCTGGCTTTTTAATAACATATATATCAATTATAAGAAAATGCTATTCTATAGAGATAGCTTAAAGTCTCAAGTAATTAATGTTCCACAGTGTCCAACTTAGAGCCAATTACTGCTGATCTTAGATACTTTTCATACACAATAAACTTCCAAATACTCAAGAATAAAGTATTCACATACTGACTTCCTCCTGGCCAGATATACTAAGGATAACAATAAGTAATCACACCTGTACTCTGGCAGGTGCAACATCTTTGAAACATTTAATTCTAAACCCTAACAGACCAAAATCAGATTAACTTAATTATTTGAACTGGTAAGTACAGTATTCCCCAAAATAGTCTTCATAGATTGTAAGTTCTGCAGCTTTTTAATAGACATTAAGCCAAAAAGGGGGAGAGGTTGTGGTTAAATTAATTTGGGAAACTATGTTAAATAGGTTTATTTAATTTTTTAAATAATTTACTTTTTATTTTTATTGAATTTATCGGGGTGCCTTTGGTTAATAAAATTATATATTTCAGGTGTCCTATTCTATAATACATCATCTGTATATTGTACTGTGTGTGCCACCCCAAGTCAAATCTCCTTTCATCACCATTTATTATCCCTCTGCCTCTTCTACCTTCTCCTATCCCCCTCCGGTAATCACGATACTGATGTCTGTGTCTATGAGGGGGTTTTATTTGCGTGTTTTTTTGTTTTTGTTTTTTTGCTTAATCCCTTCACCTTTTTCACTCAGTCCCCCAACACCCTCCCTCTTTGACAGCTGTCAGTCTGTTCTCTGTAACATGAGCCTGTCTCTATTTTGTTTGTTTATTTTGTTCATTAGAGTCCACATATAAATGAAATCATATGGTACTTGTCTCTCTCTGACTGATTTATTTCACTAGCATAATATTCTTCAGGACCATCCATGCTCTAGCAGAAGGTAAGATTTTCTTGTTGTTTTTTTTCTGCAGTCAAGTAGTATTCCATTGTGTAAATGTACCACAGCTTTTTTTTTAAACTCCTACTATTATGTAATGTTTATGATTTCAGATGTAATGAAAACCTATTACTTTAAATGGGACTTGCAAGGTGTTCCACCCAGTTTGTCAATCAACAGAACTTACACAACATTCACAGAGTAAGTTGTATTCATGAACTGTTATCATATTTTTAAGAAAATATTAGCATTCTAGCTTCCTGTGTTCAATGCTACTTTCTGGTGTTGTTATTTTTAATGTTTTTCTTCTTTATGGAATGTATTAGGGTAATATGGCTAATAAAGTTATATAGTTCTCAGGTGTATATCACCATTTATCCTCCCTATACCCTCTTCTACATCCCCCCTCACCCCCCATCCTCCTTTCCCTCTGGCAATTACCACTCTGCTATCTGTGTCTATTAGTCTTCTTTTTAAAAAATTAATCCCTTCAACCTGCCCCTCCAACCTAGCTCCCTCTGACAGCTGTCAGTCTGGTCTCTGTGAGTCTGTTTCTATTTTGTTAATTTATTTTGTTCGTTAGATTCTACATTTGAGTGAAATCATATGGTACTTGTCTTTCTCTGATTGGCTTATTTCATTTAGCATAATGCTCTCAAGTCCATCCATGCTGTTGCAAAGAGTAACCTTTCCCTTTTTTTTACAGCCAGGTAGTATTCCATTGTGTAAATGTACCATGGCGTTTTTATCCACTCTATTGATGGGAACTTGGGCTGCTTCCAAATCTTAGATATTGTAAATAACACTGTAATGAACATAGGGGTGCATATATTCTTTCCAATTAGTGTTTTGTGTTTCTGTGGATATATTCCCAGAAGTGAAATCACTGGGTCATAAGGGAGTTCCATTTTTAATTTTTTGAGGAAACTCCATATTGTTTTCCACAGTGACTACACCAATCTGCATTCCCACCCAACAGTGCACAAGGGTTCCCTTCCCTTTTCTCCACATTCTCGCCAAAACTTGTTTGCTGATTGATTTATTGACGATAGCCATTCTGACAGTGTGAGGTAATATCTCATTGTGGTTTTAATTTACATTTTTCTGATGATCTTTTCATATGACTATTGGCCATCTGTATGTCCTCTTTTGAGAAGTGTCCATTCCTGTCCTTTGCCCATTTTTCAAACTGGATTGTCTTTTTGGTGTTGAGTTTTGTTAAGTTTTTTATAAATTTTGGATATTTAGCCCTTATCACATGAGTCATTGGCAAATACGTTCTCAGTGGGTTATCTTTTCATTTAGTAGATGGTTTCCTTTGTGCAAAAACATTTTAGTTTGATGTATTCCCATTTGTTTATTTTTTCTTGTTTGCCCGAGGAGATATATATTAAAAAAATACTGCTATGAGAAATGTCCAAAATTTTACTGCTTATGTTTTTTTCTATGATTTTTATGGTTTTGAGCCTAACATTTATAAGTCTTAACCCATTTTGAGTTTATGCTTGTGCACAGTGTAAGAAAATGGTCTAGTTTCATCTTTTTGCATGTATCTGTCCAATTTTCCCAACAATTATGGAATAGACTATCTTTAGTTCCTTGTATGTTTTTGCCTCCTTGGTCAAATATTGAGTGTGAAAGTGTGGGTTTATTTCTGGGTCCTCTATTCTGTTCCATTAATTTATGCTAGTACCATGCTGTTTTGATTGCAATGGCCTTATAGTTTACTAGTTTGGTACCAGGTACCATGATTCTTCCAACTTTGTTCTTCTTTCTCAAGATTGCTGTGGCTATCCTGGGTCTTTTGTTGCTCCACATACATTTTTGGAATATTTGTTCTAATTCTGTGAAATACACCATTAGATTATTGATAGGAATTGCATTGAATCTATAGATTGCTTTCGGTTGTATGGACATTTTAATTATGTTAATTCTTTCTATCTTTGAAAAGGATGACATATGCTTCCACTTATTTGTGTCTTCTTCAATTTCTTTCTTCGATGTCATAATTTTCCTAGTACAGGTCTCTTACTTCCATTAAATTTATTCCTAGGCATTTTTTTTTTAAAGCAACTGTGAATGGGATCATTTTCTTAGCTTCTCTTTCTAATAGTTCAGTATTGGTGTATAGAAATGCAATTGATTTCTGGATATTTATTGTATATCATGTTTCTTTACTAAATTCATTTATTGGTTCTAGTTAATTTTTTTGTGTGAAATCTACTTTAGGGTTCTGTATATGACAGTATCATGTCATCTGGTGACAGTTTTATTTTTTCCTTTCCAATTTAGATGCCTTTTTTCTTCTTCTTGTCTGATTGCTGTGGCTAAGATTTCCATTACTATGTTAAATAAGAGTAATGAAAGTAGACATCCCTTATTCCTGATCTTAAAGGAAATACTTATAGTTTTCCCCAGTGGGCATGATGTTGGCTGTGGATTTGTCATATGTGACCTTTATTACGTTGAGATATGTTTCCTCTACTCCCACTTTGCTGAGTTTTTAAATAAAAAATGGGCTCTAGCCTTTTCTGCTCAGTGGATAGAGTGTCAGCCTGTGGACTGAAGGTCCTGGGTTTGATTCCAGTCAAGGGCATATGCCCAGTAAGGGTCATGCAGGAGGCAGCCAATCAATGATTCTCTCTCATCATTGATGTTTCTATCTCTGTCTCCCTCTCCCTTCCTCTCTGAAACCAATAAAAAGATATTTTAAATAATAATAAATGGGTGCTGGATTTCATAAAATGACTTTTTTTCATCTATTGATATGATCGTGTGGTTTTCATCCTTCAGTTTTTTATGTGGTGTATCACATTTATTGATTTGGAGATACTTGTACCAACCTGCATCCCCAGAATAAATCCCACTTAATGGTGTATGATCTTTTCAGTGTATTGCTGAATCCAGTTTGCTAATATTTTGTTGAGGATTGTAGCATCTATGTTCATCAGGGAATTGACCTATAATTTTTCTTCTTTGTAGTGTCTTTATCTGGTTTTGAAATTAGGATAATGTTGGCCTCTTAAAATGAGCTTGGGAGTCTTTCCTCATCTAGAATTCTCTGGAATGGTTTGAGAAGGATAGGAGTTAGTTCTTTGAATGTTTGGTAAAAATAACCTATAGACCCACGCAGCCCAGGACTTTTGAGAATTTTTTTTTATTATTGCTTCAATTTCACTAGTTCTAATCTGTCTATTCAGATTTTCTGATTCTTCCTGAATCCATTTTGGAAGACTATGTTTCTAGGAATTTATCCATTTCATCCAGGTTGTTGAATTTGTTGGCATACAATTATTCATAATATTTTCTTACACTCCTTTGCATTTTTTTGGTATCAGTAGTTACTTCTCCTTTTTCATTTCTGATCTTGAGTCCTCTCTCTTTTTTACTTCATGAGCCTGGCTGAAGTTTGTCAATCTTGTTTATATTTTCAAAGAACCAGCTCTTGATTTCATTGATCTTTCATATTGTTTTTTAGACTCTATTTTATTTATTTGTGCTCTAATTATTTTCTTCCTTCTACTCAATTTGGGCTTTGTTAGTTGTTCTTTTTCTAGTTTCTTTTGTTTGAGATTTTTCTTGTTTCTTGAGATAGGCCTGTAATGCTATGGAATTCCCTCTTAGGGCTGCTTTTGCTGTGTCCCATAGATTTTAGGTTGTTGTGTTCTCATTTTTGTTTTTTTCAAGATATCTTTTAATCTTTTTCTTGACCCTGTTGTTAACCCATTCATTGTTTAGTAACATGTTATTTAGCTTCCAAGTCTTTGTGTGTTTCTCAGTTCTTTTCTTGTGACTGATTTCTAATTTCATACCATTACAATCAGAGAAGATGCCTGATATGATTTCACTCTTCTTAAATTTATGGAAACTTGTTTTGTGTCCTAACATGTGGTCTATCCTAGGAAATGTTCCATGGGCACTTGAAAAGAATGTATACTCTGTGGCTTTGGGTTAAATGCTCTGAAGATATCAACTAAAATCTATCTGATCTATGGTGACAGAAAAAAAAAGAAATCCACCTACTGTTTCCTTGTTGGTTTTCTATCTGGAAGATCTATCCATCGATGTCAATGGGGGTCCCCTACTATGATTGTATTGTTGTTGATCTCTCCCTTTATGTCCATCAAGATTAGCTTTACATATTTAGGTGCTCCTATATTGGGTGCATAAATGTTCACAAGGATTCCATCCTCTTGTTGGATTGCTCCCTTTATCATACGTAGTGTCCTTCTTAAGTCTCTTACTATAGACTTTGCTTTAAATTCTATTTTGTCAGATGTAAGTATTGCTACTAACTTTATTTCATTTCCATTTGCATGAAATATCTTTTCATCCCTTTATTTGTAGTCTGTGTGTATCTTTTGTTCTGAGAGTATTTCCCTAAATTTTAAATTCTACAGCCTTTTAACAGATATTAAACAAAAAAAGAGGGGGTTTTATGGTTAAATTAATTTGAGAAACTTTGTTAAATAGGTTTAATCTTCTCAAAACCTTAAGTATGTTAATGTATGTTAAGATTTGGGGAAGGGGGAGGATTGATTATGAAGGGTTTCCTAGTCTTCCTTGACTGTAAAATCCATTTTGAAAGGACTGGCATTCAATGGACCAAACCTTAGGAAGTGCTGGTCAAGCATCAATATCTATTTCTCTCAGTGTACGTTATCATGTGCTTAGTGCCCATATCGCTTGAAGTGAATAATGTTTTCTTTTGTGATAAAATGACTTTACTCTAAAAATCTTCCATGTAATTATTATCATAAAACATGCTTAATTTTCATATAAAGAGGCCTAAGAATCTTGAAAGAATCTTAAATATCTAATTTAAGTTTTAGAGGATATCCAAGATAGTAGGATTTGAGGAGGAGGATAAGGAAAGCAAATAAAACCTATCTTTGAAACAAACCTCTGAAACAAATTATAAATAGCATGTGGTCCAGGGATAGATCTAGATTCTAATCCTTTTGCTACCACCAATGAGGTACCAGATTGTGGGCAAATTACTTGGCCTTGCTGTGCCTGTTTATTCATAGAGACAATAGAAGCTACTTTCTAGAACTGTGGTGATGAATAAATTATTTAGCATAGTGCAGGGCAGTGAGATAATGCTTTTGCTGTTAATAACAATAATGACAAGTAACATTAAGCATTCACTATGAACTTTCTGAAAGAATCTTTAGATGTATACCTACCTCCTGGGTAGATTTATATGTCTATAAGTCAAAATTCATGATATAGTGTCCTAATATTTTGACATACTATTTCAATTTTCAAAGGAATCTACTTCTTACTCCAGATGATATAGCACTTATATATACTTCAGAACAAGGTTTATTAGACATCATTTTAATAGGACTTATATACTTCAGAACAAGGTTTATTAGACATCATTTTATAAAACTGTACTTACTATTACAGACTGAAATATGTAAATAGGAACAAATTTAATTTAAACTTGACCTATTATTCCTATTGGATTGGTTATATTTCAAAAATACAAAAATGTTTATATGTCTGTATTTTACCACCTTCTATTAATACAATAGTTACTTATATGATTAAAAACACTTATCACCACCAGAAAGATTAAAGTCTACTTACAGTGTTCATGACATTTTGCCAAATTTTCTAGGTCATCCACATGATAGTAATCATAGCCTGATGTTCCCAGAACTTCAAATGGCAAATATCCTATTATGGGTGGTGCCCTAAATTACATATAAAGCAATATTATAACTTTTTCCATAATGAGGAATATTCCAACTAAAAATCAATTTTAAGGGAACCTTTATATATTTGAAAAAATGGATAACGAACTTAATCATCCAAATTAGAAAAAGTTTGTTTTGGAAATCCATTAATTTAAACAATTATATGACTGTTCCCTTTTTATAAAATTTAAAAATGGAGTTACCTGTGATCTAGAAATAGAAATTTCCATTCTAAACTATGTCTAGATGTAAACTCTTCATTGGGTTCTTCAACAGTGCACATTTCCTACAAATAAATGAATAATTAAAATTCAGAAATACTTTTCCGCCTTTTGAAGAATCCTAAATATTGTTAGCCACAAAAGTCCTTATTAGACAACTTTTCTAGCAATTTTTTTAACACATTTTAATTTTCTAATACTAAAGAATATGGCAATAAATAAATGCAGGCTTCTAGAGGAGTACTTCTTACTCTACATGTTTCTTCATTCACTCACATGCCTATAAATCCTAATTCTGAATTCAGATCTCTCTCCTGAACTTCAGTGCCATATTTCTGTGTAGATGTCCCCACACATCACAAACTCAGTATTTCCTAAAATGAACAAACTGCCTTATTCCTCATATCCAGTTAAAACAATTTTTTATATCATCACCTTTTACCATCTAAATGCTTACTACTAAATCCTTTCAAATTCACCTTCTACCTTAAAAAAAAAATCTATTTGACTCCATCCATCTTCAGTGTCATAGTTTAGACTAGACCAGCCGTGGGCAAACTACGGCCCGCGGGCCGGATTCGGCCCGTTTGAAATGAATAAAACTAAAAAAAAAAAAGACCGTGCCCTTTTATGTAATGATGTTTACTTTGAATTTATATTAGTTCACACAAACACTCCATCCATGCTTTTGTTCCGGCCCTCCGGTCCAGTTTAAGAACCCATTGTGGCCCTCGAGTCAAAAAGTTTGCCCACCCCTGGACTAGACCCTCATAATCATTGGTTCATATTATTGCCACAGCATCTCCCCAAACAACTCTATGTGTTCTTCAACCCATCTTCTATTCTGGCTATAATTACCTTACTAATACTCAAATATGACTATATAACTTCCCTGCTTAAAACCTTAATGATTCCTCATTCTGTTAGGATAAAGTTTAAAATCTTCAGCATGGAGAAATAAAAAAAAAGAAAGAAAGAAACATATTTCAGTTCTGGCCTTTTTCTATTTTCTATCATCTCCCAACATCCCTACCCCCTCCACACACAGTAACCCTAGACCAGGGGTGGGCAAACTTTTTGACTCGAGGGCCACAATGGGTTCTTAAACTGGACCGGAGGGCCAGAACAAAAGCATGGATGGAGTGTTTGTGTGAACTAATATAAATTCAAAGTAAACATCATTACATAAAAGGGTACGGTCTTTTTTTTTTTTAGTTTTATTCATTTCAAACAGGCTGGATCCGGCCCGCGGGCCGTAGTTTGCCCACGGCTGCCCTAGACTCTACTCATATTCAACAATTTATTCCAACCTGCCTCTGTGTCCTTCAATGACCTTCTATAGCACAATGCAGTGATTAAAGAGTATGGGCTTTGAGAGAAAAAGAATTAGAATCAATCTCATTTCTACCACTTAATAACTTTGACTTTGGGCAAATAACTTAACTTCCCTAAGCCTGTTTCCTTATACATAAAACGGGGATCACACTAGCATCTACCTTAAAGGGTTGTTATAAGAATTAAATTAGATAATGCACATAAAGTATACAGTATGTAATAAGCACTAAATATTTGTCACTGCTATAATTTCCTAAGATCAAAACAAGAAGAGCAAAACTGTTTAAGATCTTCTAACTACTAATTCAGTACTTGTCCTACAATATGGCATCTTCCTAAATTTAAAATCTTAGCCTGGTTTACTTCCAGCCACGTTCTTTTAGTGGCTGAATTACCTCACCTTCCACTTCCCTACTAATCATCTGCTTGTGAGGTCCAAAAAATAAAAATACATTCTTCAATTAAATTTTAAAACTAAAAAGATAAATTGCATGCAGTAAAAAGCCACTTGTATATTTCTAAAGAAAATTTCAAAAACAATCTTTACAATTACACACGTTTGGCCTTTCTCCTTTAATGTAGGTTGTGAACTACACAAAAAAAGCATCTTAAAATTTTGCACAAAAGCATGACAACAGTGATATATAACCACTGGTTAACTGCAAAGGATATATTTTTCAAAATGAATTCTAAATTTAATGAGTACCTTGATAACTCATTATGTGCTTAAAAAATACAGCATTATGATGATGTATATTTCAAGATTAATGGCCATCACTATCTATAATGTTTGTAGGAAGTTTCAGTTATTCTAGAAACAGCAAAAAAAAATTACATAAAGACTATTCGGCAAAATATGAATTTAAATCCCCTTTAGGAAATAAAATTCAAAACATACCTTGATGAACTGAGGTGTAGCTAATCTGACAGTAGCTACAAAACAAACTCTATCTTCATAAGATGTTCTGTGTGTGCGTTGTATAGTTCCTTCAAAACCATTGTGTGCTGAAGTGGATACTAAAACAATAAGGAAATATGTATCATCACTTACTCCAGTAAAATCAAGTTATTATTGATGTTCAAATATCTATGTTTTTGAGAGCTTGAAACAATACCAGATTAAAAATACATTGTAAGAAAAGCATTTTAACTTACCACTGTTTAAAGATTTGAAATTTCCTATAAATTTCACATATTCATAGGTAGATGGCTCTTTTGGGTCTATTGTTCCTCGAAGCATATGACAACAGAATTCTAACTGATTTTTTGCTGAAGTGGGAGAAAAAATATATTTGTGATTTATCATGAGTAATATATTACATGAAAAGATTATAAAAGTTGTACAAGTTTACAATATTTTCTCTAACAGTCCTCAATTACATTTTTATTTAGTCCATAAAAGTAGAATAACTATAGGAGATGATCTTCTTAATACAGAAAACAGATGATCTATCCTTAATAGAGAAAACTGATCTTCCGATATAAGCAACTCCATATTTCCCCATTTTTATCTGTCCTTCCTTCTCATTCTTCACTCTAATTTCAAAGAACAGTTTTGCTTCCCATTTTAAAGTCAATGCTTCTATGTCTACTGTGAACAGTCTTTCCTATGTTCTTTAGGATCAGGGCCACACCTTTATTCATTCCTTTAGCATCCACACCTTCTCTTCTTTGAGTCATTTGTGTCTATTTGTAAATCTGCTTAGGTCTTCCCATCTCAGATAAACAAAAGTTTTTCATACTACTCTTTTTTTAAAATATATTTTTACTTATTTCAGAGAGGAAGGGAGAGGGAGAGAGAGATAGAAACATCAATGATGAGAGAGAACCATTGATCAGCCAGCTGCCTCCAGCATGCCCCACATTGGGGAACAAGCCAGCAACTTGGGCATGTGCCCTTGACCAGAATCGAACCTGGGACCCTTCAGTCCACAGGCCGACACTCTATCCACTGAGCCAAACCAGCTAGGGCCATGCTACTCTTTATAGTATCATAGAAATTGCCTTCCTTTTCATTATGTGCTTTAAGTTCCATACACATATTCATTTACCTTAACTTCATGCATGGTGGCTTTCTTCCTTATAACCTGTATAGCAGGGGTGAGAAACCTTTTTTCTGCCAAGAACCATTTGAATATTTATACCACCATTCGCAGGCCATACAAAATTGCCAACTTAAAATTAGCCTGCTATATTTGGTCAAACATTTAAATAACTCACCCCAAATGCCCTGGCTGGGCCAGACCAAATGATTTTGTGGTCCTTACTTAAATGGCCCACAGGCTGGATGTTCTCCACCCTGCTCTATAGGAATTGCTTGCATAAAGATCACCAATACTTGTACAGTACTCCCCCCTTATTCCAGGGAGATATGTTTCAAAACCCCCAGTGGATGTCTGAAACCACAGATAGTACCAAACCCTATAAGTACTAATATTTTGGCAAACATACATACCTATGATAAAGTTTAATTTACAAATTAGGCACAGTAGGAGAGTAATAATTACTAATCATGAAAGAACAGTTACAGGTATACCTCATTTTATTGCACTTTGTGTTACTGCACTTCACAGATCCTGAATTTTTTACATATTGAAGGCAAGACACACCACTAGCAGAAAGATTATGACTTGCTTTATTGTGGTGGTCTGGGAACTTAACTGGTAATATCTTCAAGGTATACCTGTCATCACAATATACTTTTTATTATAGTTATGTGACTGTGGTCTCTCTCAAAATATTTTATTGTACTGTATGTACAAAAGGATATGCTGGACAGAGAGATAATTCACATCCTATGTGGCACAGAGCAGGATGACATGAGATTTCATCACACTATTCAGAATGACATGCAATTTAAAATTTATGAATTATTTATTTTTGACATTTTCCATTTTTATATTTTCAGATGGAGATTGATTGCAAGTAATTGAAACCATGGAAAGTGAAACACAAATAAGGGGATACTACTGTACTATTAACTTCAATGGGCTTTCCTCATTATTACTACCTCTTCTTAAAACTCGCACTTCATTCCATAGCCTGAAACTTACCTTCCTACCTTATTGAAAATTTCTATATTTCTACTAATCAGTCTTCAAATTGTGAGCATTTATAAACATTATTTTGATCTTGATCTATCATTGCCCTTTATAAATTTATCAGCATTTAGTCAACTTATTTACTCCTAAATCTCTCCCCTCAACTCTAACATATTGTGTAAGACTAAGTCTCAGGTCACTATGTGCTTTCAGGATATTGCTACTTGATTGTCCCATCAATAACTCAAACTAAAAATATTTCAAAGTGAATTTATCCCTCTCTCTTCCTAAGCCAGCTATTTTTCCCCTCTGACCTATGTGTTCCTATTTCTCAAGATAGAAACCATATCAATTTGGTCTCTTCTCTTCCACAAGCCTCCAAACTAGTCTGTCACCAGGACCTGCTTTTTATTTCACCAAAAAAGCTCTCATAACTTATTTTTCCAAATGAGCATCCAATACCACCAATTTAGTATAGATGCAAATCATCTAGGTAACTACAAAAATGTATCCTATAGATGCCTCCATAGTCCTGCCACTAGAATTTAACTTTCCCTACTACTGTTAACTAATGTTACTTTCACAGTTATTATTTCAGCACTCAAGGACTAGTAATGTCTTCTTTGTTCACAGCATCAAACTCACATTCTTCTGTCATTATCATGAATGACTTCATTACCTACCACAACAGGTTCAAAATCTAACCACCTTCTTCCTAAAACCTCCACTGATGAACCTTAGCCACTTGGTCTCCTGCCTAACACTAAGTCCTATTGAATTTATCTACTCAACACGCACATACAGGCTTTCTTCTCCATCCTTACTTCTATTGCTAGTATTCTGTAGTTTTTATTTTTACTTCCAGGCTAATCCTTTTCAAAATTTTCTACCTGAGATTTTATCCAAACCAAAAATCCACCTTTTTGCCAGGTCCTCACTATATAATAAAAATCGAACAAGTTTGAATGAAAGATTAGGCCCCATTTCCTTTTCTAGACACAAATAACACCACTGGTACCACCTCACTTTCATTAAGGTTCAAATGACCTATTTGCAGAATCCTAAATTTTCCCCTGTTTTAAATCATGTTTAATCTTCTGGCATAAAACACTTTTTTTCTGGGAAAATAACTTTTTGTATATCGGTGTCTAACTAGGGGGTAAGTCTTTTAATTAAGGTTTTTCTCTATCAAAACGTATTGTTGCCATCCACCCTCCAATCTTAGAAGCAGAAGCCTAACGTCTGTCTTTCTGCCAGAGGCTTTCATTCAGTTCTCCCACCAACTCTGCCCTATGAAGGTCTCTATAGTGGACCCTTTCTTTGTCAACTTCTAGGTCGCAGTGTTCTACCTTTCTAATTCTTCTCTCCTTGCTCTATATGTTCATCTCAAGTAATACAATTCAATCCATGACTTCAAATACTATTTATAGGCATATAACTGATCTACATCATTATATCCAGCACAAATCTTTCTCCTAGTTGAAAAACTAGAGTGGTCTATTGGTAATGTCATAAGAACTTAATTTTTTAAACAATTATAAATAGGCTTCAAATGGACTCTCCTGGTCTCTAGTTCATCTCATCTCCTGACAAGCCACTCATTCACATCAAAGATATACATTCATACATACTTACACATATATATGTGTGTGTGTATTCTTGGACAGTTAGTTTTCTATAGAACTTGAGAGTTCAAAATACCAAGAACTTTTCAAATGATTAATAATATCAGAATTACCAGAAATGTCAAAATTAATATCAGTATGACCAGAAAAGTCAAAATTGAAAAATAATGAAAAAAGTGATTTAAAAAAATATCTAATAACTAATGACCAAATACAGTCTTGTGATCATCTCAGATTTTACATAGAGAAAAATTTAGTGAAGAAAATGAGGTATTCTGGTCAAATTAATTTGCCAATGAACCTAGAAGAGATGTCTGTTTATACCATAGTATTTTTAGTTTTCAAAAACAGGAACTATTTTTCACTGTTCTTGGCACTTCTTTGATATTGCACAATTGCCTGGCATGTAACATATACCCAATAAATGATTTTTTTAATTAGTAAAGCAAACAATTTTCTTTAGTTACTATTTCCTAAAAATACAGAAGTTATTGTTGTCCAACTGGTTGAATATAGTGAAAATAATAATGTTTAATTTTCTCATTACATAAGATTTTATTTAAAAATTAATAAAAACATATTATAAAGTTCCACTTTTGTGTAAAATACAGTTTTATGGCATAACTATTATAACAAAAAAGATGGGATTTCAATATATTTTAGAATAGAGTTCAAACTTTAAAATACAGTCTTAATTCCGTATTATATATATTTTTTAAAATTTAAAAGTGATCTAATAAGGTATATGAAACGATGCTATGTGTTAATTTAGTCAAACATGTCTATGTTTGTTACAAAAGCCAAGTATAACATGACCAAATACATTTAGCTTTTTCCTTAACAGCTACTACTTACATTTTAAATATTCCGGGGTTAATGAGTCACTTTCCAGCAGATGGGTAGAGAGTATTTTATAAACCTCTGAATGTTCCCCTTCTGGGATGAAATTAAATATACTTTGATCCACAAGATCAGACTGAAAATAAAAATTCAAGAAAATAAATTAACTTTAGTGATTCAAGACATGTATTTTAAAAGGATATAATCACTCTTAAAACATCAGCTGAACATACGGTTAACTTGATTATTTGTAAAAACTGACAAACATCAAGTTACAGAGAACAACTTAAAGAATAAGAGAAGCCTGGCTGGTATGGCTCAGTGGTTGAGCATCAACCTATAAATCAGGAGGTCAGGGTTCGATTCCCAGTCAGGGCACATGCCCGGGTTGCAGGTTGGATCCGTGTGGGGTGTGCAGGAAGCAGCTGATCAATGATTCTCTTCTCATCACTATGTTTCTATCACTCCCTCTCCCTTGCTCTCTGAAATCAATAAAAAAATATTTAAAAACAAAACAAAGAAAAGTGGAAGATGATTAACATGACCTCCATGTCTCCGTGTCTTCATAGATCCGTGATCGATATGATCTTGAAAAGTTTGATAAATGATTTGCAAAGGTGAGTTTCACCAAATTTGAACATCTGCCAGTGGTTCTCAACCTTCCTAATGCTGCGACCCTTTAATACAGTTCATGTTGTGGTGACCCCCAACCATAAAATTATTTTCATTGCTACTTCATAACTGTAATTTTGCTACTGTTATGAATCGTAATGTAAATATCTGATATGCAGGATGTATTTTCATTGTTCGAGACCCACAGGTTGAGAACTGCTGAATACTAATAATAGCCTAGGTGGTCGTCACACCCTCATGCATCACGCCCTCACAAGATGGCCGTGTGCACAGCAGAGGCGGGGCCCAGCAGAGGAGGTGGGTTGCGGCAGGGGAGGGCAGTTGGGGGAGAGCAGGCTGGCAGGGGAGGGCAGGTGGGGGTGATCAGGCTGGCAGGGGAGGGCAGGTGGGGGTGATCAGGCTGGCAGGCAGGCGAGCAGTTAGGAGCCAGTGGTCCCGGATTGTGAGTCAGACATCCCCTGAGGGGTCCCAGATTGTAGAGGGTGCAGGCCGGGCTGAGGAACACCGCCCCCGCCCCCCATGCACAATTTTCATGCACCAGGTCTCTAGTTTAAAATATAACAGAACTAAGAAAGTTGATTAGAAAAATCTTTGGCTACAAGACATAACCCTACGGTATATCCAAGCCTCTGGTAATTTATGGTGGTATTTACTATAACACAGGACTAGCCACAGGCTAAACAAAGAGGAGATTTGACTTTGGTGTCATTTCAATTGTCTAATGTGTCTTTTCCTCTTTACTTCTTTTCCATCCATCCATCCTGTATCCCACTGTCAAAAAGCCCTGCTGTTAGCTAACCCTCCTCCCCCAAAGTAAGTAGTATGTCAAACATTATAATCCTTGCTCAAATATGGCTTTAATAATGATTCAGTAATCAACTGTAATTTGACAAACAGGTTGCCTACAATGTGCCATGGCTATGGGAATCAAATACGAATAAAACAGTTCCTATCCTAATAACCACTGACAACAAATCAGTGATTTCACATTTTCTATCAAATCCAGACTATTCTACTTGGTTTATCCATATTTTCAAACTGCTCTGTGGAATCCTGGAGATACTGAAGGGGTGTCTCAAGGACTGTGGAGTGAAAAGGAGCTGTGAAGGCAGGGCTAAGGCTCTTTGCCTCTGTATTCACAAAAGCAGTTCCACTTTTATTTGGGTTTATATTTTAAACATTGTAAAGATTTTGTTCAAAGAAAGAATTTCATGATTTAAAAACAAAAACCCTCAAACAACAACAAAAGAGAGCCACTGGGGAGGTGGGAAGTGGGAAGAGTTTTTACCGTACTCTCCATAAAAGCCATACATTCACATTCTTTCTTTTCTCTAGCCCTCAAAGTCCACTCTATAAATTGGAATAGCCTTCCTCTCTTTCTCCACATACTAGTATTTGTATCTTCCATCTTTCAAAGACCAGTTCAAATTATTTCCTTCAAAAAAGTATTTTCTTAACACCATTAATCCACAGTAAATAAAATTCCTTCACTACTTATTACTCCTATCATTCATTTCCCATAAAAAATTTCTGTCAATTCTATTTTAATGTCTATGTCTTACTGCCCACTGCCCATCCTATATAATAAAAGCCTAATATGCTAAGTGTCCGATCGACCAGTCGGCCGTTCAACCAATCAAAGCGTAATATACTAAAGATATGCTAAGGCCACTCAACCACTTCCTATGACGTGTACTGACCATCAGGGGGCAGAGAGTCGACCAGTCGACCAGCTGCTATGATGTGCACTGACCACCAGAGGCAGACAATTGACCAGTCACTATGATGTGCACTGATCCCCAAGGGGCAAACGCTCCAACCGGTAGGTTAGCTTGCTGCTGGGGTCTGGCCGATTGGGACTGAGCAAGATGGGCCAGACATGCCCTGGAGCCCTCCTGCAGGCCTTCCCCGGCTGGCCAACCTCCCACATTTCTCCCCGGCCCTGATTGTGCAGATCGTGCACCGGTGGGGTCCCTCGGCCTGGCCTGCTGTGCAGATCGTGCACCAGTGGGGTCCCTCGGCCTGGCCTGCACCCTCTTGCAATTTCGGACCCCTCGGGGGATGTCGGATAGCTGGTTTCGGCCCGTTCCCACAGGCCAGGCCGAGGGACCCCACTGGTGCATGAATTCGCGCACCGGGCCTCTAGTATGTAAATAAAAGCCCCCATCTCTTATATATTTTTCTCCTCCCTTCAAATTAAGACACATTAAAGTTGTGCATTGCGTATAACAGTTATTAGTACAATAAATGATTCTAGATTAAGGAGTTATTTGGTAAAGGCTTACGGATAACCACACTAAAAATATATCTGCATTTTAAGAAGGTTTTTTTTTCCCCCTGAAAGTCTGAAAAGCCTCTAGAACAAAAGTTATGCACTAAAAATTCAGGCATGAATAACAAAAATGCTAGAAAATTGCTTTTTATTGACAAAACAGAGGCATTGATATAAATGTAAAAAATAGTTTAAACAGAAAAATAAAACTATTTGAAGTACTAAAACTTTCATTGTGAAAACGATTATAGTTTTCTACCATTTATTCTCATTGACAATTTCTTTTACTATTCAGGAAATTATAAACTGACCTATGTTATCCTTGCTTTTCCAGCTATAAACAGATAGGTGTTTCATATTCACAGAGAAAAGAATATAAACGAGTAGCACAGAGTGGTATGATCACAAGCACTGCTTCCCCTGAAACTTTATATCATGAAGGATCAGAGTTAGCAGGTGACTAACATGTCAAACTTTCCATTAATCACCACATTTAAAATCTCTAAATGAAGCTAATCATACTTAATATCACCATACCATTCACTCAGTTCCCAAACACAATTCAAAGAAAGTTAGAAAAGCAGCTATCCTGATCCTTTTATCTCCTTCAAGCATTATCATGAAGAAGAAATGTAAATCCTGCTGAGTTAGTTATGTGACATATATCAATAGCCTTTCTGTTTTTCTACATTTTGTGGAAATTATATAATGTTACCAATTATCTTTCCCTTCAGGTAGACAACTGACAGACAGTTAAATAACTGCAGTAGAGTACTTGCTTAAAAAGGAGTGAAAGCTCCTCAGAAAATGTTAAATATATGTTGAATATAACGTATTTTTAAACAACTGTGTTCCTTATGTATACGCATAAGGAAGAAAAGTTCTGGCCCTATCAAATAATCTACACTAATAAAAGAGAAACATGGTAAGGCATAAGGAAGAAAAGTTCTGGCCCTATCAAATAATCATTATATAACTACTCAAAAAAATTCTAAATTCTATTTCTGTAAACTGCTGATAAAGACTGTACTGGCTTTCTTTATATATACTGATTTCAGAGAGGAAGGGAGAGGAAGAGAGAGATAGAAACATCAATGATGAGAGAAAATCATCGATTGGCTGCCTCCAGGGAATTGAGCCAGGAACCTGGGATATGCCGTGACCAGGAATCAAACCGTAGCCTCCTGGTGCATAGGTCACTGCTCAACCACGGAGCCACCCTGGATGAGCACACCGCAGGGTTTACTGCCTTTCTTAAAACACATTTGTGTTTATATTCCCAAACTCTCAAGTTAAGAGGAGAAAAGGAAAGGCTTGCCCAGTATCTTCACAGAGGCATTTTCAGTCCTGGACTCTGCTAAGCTATAATGTGGTTATCATCTTCTCTGTATTATTAGTTACAACTTTAATATATTCACTTTGAGGAATATATTTAAACAAGTGTGAGGAATCAATCTTTAGTTGTAAAATTTAAAACATTTTAAATTTGAAATATAGTAAGACACCAACTTTGTGTCTTGGAAGTTCCACAAAAATGTTGCACAGTTAAGTCCAATTTCTCTAGTTTCATGTTTTTTGCTGATAATATAAAGGGGGTGGGCTAAGGATGTCTAAAATTTCTTCCGGCACTAAGGTGGCATGAGCCTAATTTGTCACAGAAAGCTAGATTGGGAGACAAAAAATCCATAAGTTTTCTTTCCAATCTCAAGAGAATAAAGTATTTATGCCCAATTATTAGCCACAAATAGGTTAAAATGTGCCTAATTTAATAAGCATAAAGTGACAAAGTTAAGAAAACATTTTTCTTGCAGGACCTACAGAATCAGTCTTGTAATTTTATGGTCTGATTTGAAATTTAAATTTAAAAATTTTAAGTCATATTGACCACTAATTTAAGATGGCAAGTTTTAATTTCTCAACAGAACTGAACTATAAACACTAAAGCCTAATTTAGGTATTTGCCAATGTGTCTTCCCTTCTGGCAACAGCCAAAATTCTATTTTAGATAATAGGTGTGTACATTAAAACACAATGAAAGAGGCATCATTATTTTAAACCTTTTGTTTAGTATCTGTTACAGTTTGAATATTAACGACAACTAAAACAGAAAGTCACATATTTTTCCTTATGTTTGATCCTGAGTATTATTTTCTCAAAAAACGTGTTTCTCTTTTTGCCTCCCCCCCCACCCCGCCCCGCAAAACACTGGTGTTTACATTTTTCAAGCCATAGAGTAATAGACAATTCAGCAATATCAGTGATGTGAAGAAAAGTGTCCATAGGAACTGGTGAGCAGCAAAAACATATTAACAAAGGGTACTATTGACTTAGTATGGAATGAAACGGGTCTACTAGAGCAGCAGCAGCAATTTCCTCTGCCCAAAAATTCACCTACCAATCTATATGCTTTGGCTAATACAAACAATGAAAAATATCAAGATAATGTTAATAACATAGCAAACTGGGTATGGGGCACATGGGAACTCTATGTACTATCTTCTTGATTTTTCTGTAATCTAAAAACAGTTAAAAAATAAAAAGGTTTTTAAAAATCCAGGATGGAATGGAAAGGTAAAGACAGTTTTCACGAGGAGGAAATGTTAATGACAAAATGCTTGGATCCCAACTAGATCTATCACATGTTACCTATTTCAAAAATCAATTAAACGCCACCTCACTAAAGATTCAACACCAGTGTGCCATTAGGAAAGATTTTTTAAAACAGCTACATCAAATAGCCTACTCATTTTTATACATTCAATAAAATATTACCAAATACCTCTCTAAGAAACTAGCTAGCCCATTGTGGATATAAAGTCCCTGCATTTAAAAAGCTACACCTACCATGATTACCCAAATAAACAGAAAAGTACAACTCACTATAAGTGTCATGATGGCAGAACGTACAAGGTAACATAAGCAGAGAGAGGAAGGGCATCTAATTCTGAATGGAGTTCAAGGAAAGTGCCCAAAAAGTAGGCTTTTAAAAAGTGTTACCACATATATTACATAAGATGCTGATTATGAATAAAATTTTTAGAAATTTTAATTTAAAAAATTAGTTTCTGATCGGCTACTAACCCGGAGGCAACGGCTCTCAAGCAGATTTTTGGAAATTTTAATTTAAAAAATTAGTTTCTATAAATACATAATGAAAAGAAAACCTATACAGTAGTATATGGTTTAAAAGCATATAATAATACCTTTATTTATATTAATCTTATTTTAATCATTATCTTAATCCTACAATGAGTTTCTTTCCCTAGCTTTTTTCACGTAATTAAAAAAAAACAAAAACAGAAAATTCAGTTAATCAATCTGTCCTTTTCTCTGCCTATACTAGTTTACTTATGTGTTCTATAATCTGTTTCCTCTCAAACAAATTTTAGATGGGCTAATTACCTACTTTTTGAGCTTACTGTTAATGAAAGCCCCTAGAAAAGCAGGCAAACCAAGTCATTTTCTGGTGTGAGCCACAAAATCAGCAAATTACTTAATGCCTGGCTTTCAGTAAGAAAATACCCTTTTAAATCTGGTCTTTTAAGTGTAGTGTCCATTCTCTATATAGAATACTAGAGGGCCAGTGCATGAAATTCATGCATGGGGGGTGTGCATCCCTTAGCCCAGCCTGCACCCTCTCCAATATGGGACCCTCTCACAATCCGGTACTGCTGGCTCCCAACCGCTCGCCTGCCTACCTTCCTGATTGCCCCTAACTGCTTCTGCCTGCCTGCCTGCCTGATCACCCCCTAACCCAGGGGTGGGCAAACTTTTTGACTCGAGGGCCACAATGGGTTCTTAAACTGGACCGGAGGGCCGGAACAAAAGCATGGATGGAGTGTTTGTGTGAACTAATATAAATTCAAAGTAAACATCATTAAAAAAAAGGGT